GACCATAGCCATGAGGTCATCATGAGGTCATCCTGGGAGTATCGCGGATGAAAGCAGTCCGCTGCAAGAACAAAAAGCGACGGAGAGAGGGGCCCCTTTGCCGTAGGCCCCGAAAAGAAGAGAAGAAGTCGATGGGGCTGCCATTAATCAGGTGCAGTGCTCCAACATGCCTCTACAAAACTGACCTACCGCTTTGAGAAGCCTATCCGGACTAGCAGCTCTCTTAGAAACGCCACTCGACCCTATCATGCGCCTTAGCCATGTCTAGTTCAGCGCAAGGTTCGGGAAATCACCTTCAAGTTAAAATGCAATGTATTTGTTAAAAATTATCTTTTGTCCCACACCGAATCTGGGCTGTTATTTTGTATAAGCGTGGGTTGAGAATCCTATCCCTTTTATTGCTTTTGGGGATGAGTTCTACACATAACCATTTATCATTATTATTGTACAAATAAATTTTTGTAAGAATTATATTCAATGCCTGAAGAGCGACAAAAAGTTGACAATGCAAGTTATATAGAACTTGTGTGAAGGATAAGGTATATGTTATGCATGTTCGTTGTTTAGTAAGAGTGGTTCGAAAATTGAATTATCACATGATGAGTTTAGTTAAAATGTAAGCATCTTGTTTTAGTAAAAGCATACTTCCTTTTAAAATTCGGGTCAGGTTAGGTTTAATTGTATGTTTGATTCATATTTATTTGTTATATTCAATTCGTAATTTATATGCATTCCAGGCCTTACCGGTGAGCCACTGCAAGCTTATATTTTCATGGGTCCAATTTATTACCAGAAGTTAAAACACATGGTAAGCTTGATTATTATTTTTCTACTCTTTAATGAATTCCGCTGCTTCTCTTAATTGACTGTTCTACTTTTGAGTTATCGCATATTTCACTCCCGATTATCTCCTGATTATCTCTTCACCATTGCTCATACGGTGATCATTTAGTAGTTTTAAGATGCAATTAAAACATAAAGATGACTAATTTAGTTGGGAACTTGGGAAAACTGCAGTCCAGTTCCAGAAAGTGAGGACAAAATATGATGTCATATTGGAATAATAATAGAGAAGCTAATTGATAGGATTGATGTATGTGGAGAATAGTTGGGGGCTTTCGCTAATCACAGTGCTTTTCATGAAATGGAAGGTTGGATATGGATAGGATGCAGTTATTATTATTTTCCTGGAACAGTAATGGGGGTAAAACGTTTATTGATCAGATTGGCGGCTCATTGAATAGTAACTTCTGATGGAGTTAAAGCCATCTGGCAAAAAATGATATCTCTTGTTTTCTTTCCGTTTCTTCCCTTAAACAAGGCAGTGACTCAAAGGTTGAAATATTGTGAATTATTTACTTTTATCCTCAATATTAAGACTTTAATCCTCTATAAATGGAAGTGAATATACAAAGAAACAGCCTGACTGAAACCTACTCTCAGAAATGTACAATAATCCTTAGTACTTGCTTAGGGAATGTTCTTCATATTTTCTCACTTCTTGAGCATAGCTTCCAATAGTAACTCCTTTTTGCCTGAAAGTAATGAACCCTAGATGTATTGTTTTCATGCGTAATAGTTGTGCACGATGGTTGAGTTTTATATTGCAACATGTGTACGTGTTCTGTTAGTGGTGTAAACCATTCCGGTTTGTCCCAAGAGTTGTTCTCACGTCCTGCAAACGCCTGATCCTCCTTAATTCAGCTCAGCTCCCTGCGATTGCAATCTCCTTGAAAAAGTTGGGACTGTTCCCAACATTAGCACTCCAAAGCTTATTACAGTTGAGATCACTAGAGAGAGGGAGAGAGAGAGAGATGTATGCATGGTAAAATTTGTGTACAGAATGTGTCATGTGCGATATGTTTAAAAGTTACCATATTTACCTTATGTGTAGAACATATACTACCTGATTCTTGCTCCCTATGTCACTTTGAGAATATTCCTTGTGCTCTGTGCTTTTGGGCTTATGGTGACCTCTTTTGGGCCAAAAAATGTCGTGTCAGTCCATTAATTAACCAGTTGTGGCAGATGACTTTTATTATACTTGAATAATGGTATTATTCTTGCTGCTAATTTTACCATTTGTAGGGAATAATTATCATACTCAGCTTATTGTGGTTTTCATCAGAATTGCAGTTCTATGGGAGTATGCCGAGTGTTCGCTTTGTAATGCTGTTATGAATTTCTACTTTTCTTTGGATCCCAGGTGTTAGATAAAATTCATGCTCGAGGTACTGGACCCCGAGTTATGATGACTAGACAGCCTACAGAGGGGCGGAGTAGAAATGGAGGTTTGGGAATTGGATATTAATTTTACACTTCATTTCTTTTTCTTAGGAATGCTGTTGTCTGAGTGCAAAAATTTGAACAGGTTTGCGAGTGGGGGAAATGGAACGGGATTGCTTAATTGCATATGGAGCCAGTATGTTGATATATGAACGCTTGATGATATCTAGTGACCCATTTGAGGTTCAGGTAAGCTTCCTGTTACTGTCACATTTATTTTTTTCCTCAAGATTACATCAGACGAAATAGTATTTTTTACTCATTCTCACTGTTCTCCATCCATCATTTGTTTTTCTGTAAGTCGAATAACAGCCAATCTATTGGAAGTATGCCAGATTATTAAATACATATAATCTAAATAAACCAAATCGATTTACAAATTGTCTTTGTATGAGATCAAATTGTAAGTTCAAGTTTCAAATTTTCTCGCTGATCACTATTGTATGCTTCTGATATCATTTGCAAGTTTGTTTGAGTTGTTTAGATGCTGAAGTTTATTTGTTGTATCTTCCTTGGAGCAGCTGCATATTTATATGCTTAAAATGAATCTGAGAATGTTTGGAGGATATCCCGTCTTCTCTTCTCACACAGAATCATAGAATTTCCTGATGTGTTTTTTTAAGAGGAATTGTGGCCTTAGAACTCTAATCTGTTCTTTCAGTATCATTCAAATAGGATTGTCAAAACTGATGTCTGCAAATTGCCGTGGGAAAAATTGTGAGAACACAATTTTTCGAACCCTGCTAACATAATGTAAAAAATGAGAAACCATATTAACCTACTTGCTAAGTAACCGGTTTTCTTTTTCCAGGTGTGCCGGAAGTGTGGTCTCCTGGGCTATTACAGCTTTAAGCTAAAGGCTGGCATATGCTCTACATGCAAGAACGGAGAAAATATGTCTACCATGAATTTGCCCTATGCATGCAAACTTTTGATCCAGGTTAATCTAGTTGCTTGGTGTTTTTGACTCTTTCTCCTGATGCTTTCAAATTAACATGCACAATTGTTATTTTTATATAGCCAATTATTGTACATTTTAATTTAATAATTGTTGTATACTGTCCTATGTTCTCGTCATCCATGTCGTATCGCATCTATACCTAAATCAATATCCAATGATCCATGCTACATAGATAGATTACAATACATACTGGCAATGGCAGTAGTATTGCTATTAGATTCTTAGTCCACATGTACATTTGATTTAAATTTAGTTGGAGGAAGAATGTGTATTTATACAGCGACAACTATTTTGTGAATTCAATCAAAATGTGTTGATTGTTTGCAAGGCATTATTAATTTTGACCGATGTTTTTGGGTGACACATTGTTCAGGAGCTCCAGTCAATGAATATCATTCCTCGTTTAAAATTAACTGAGGCTTGATGAGATGAGTTTCAAGTGATTTTGCATTGGTGTGGTTGTAAAGAAGATGTGTCCATGACCACTGTCGTCCTTGGAAGCAAAGCAACATTGGATGGCCACATTTGCCGTTTTATTTCTACACACACTTCATTACAGTAGTCTACGACTGCACCATTAATTGATGACTTTATCTACAAAAATTATGTGTTGTTTGTTGTTTTTTTACGTAACAAACATGTATGTTCCAGAATATGTGGTGAAGAAGCATAAAGCAGTAAAAGGAACTAAATACCAAAATCTTTAGAGCAATTACCTTTTTCAAATTTCTATGGACTGATACATTTTCTGCTTTCATATTCATTCGATTCTAGCACTTGAAAAAAATGACCAACAGGGTTCATTCCAGATGTACTTCTATGTTGTCCAACACTCATTTTGTTTACCAGTGCTACAGTTACTCACACGTTATTCCAATTATTTCCAGTTATCTCTGACCCCAATTAACGTTTACCTTAGTACTGTAGAGTATAAGAAGCCAAAAAGTACTTGGCAAAAAAGTACTTTTCATATTCAATACTTCTTTCTATGTCTTACTTTTAAGAAAAAAAA